GCAACCCAAATTGCAACTGAGGTTGCAATTGTTCGGAATCAACTAGATATGTCTGATTACAGCAAATGTGTTATTGTCAATTTGTAGGTGAAAGATTTTATCCTCAATAGATGTAGGTTAACATACACCTGGAGGCAAATGCTTCAAAAGAGCCTAGGAAGGAAGCATGTTTTTTGTTTTTGTTTTTGCAGGATTAGCCTACCCAGGCACAGGTCACTGACCCACATCAGGGCCTGGGGGCGAAAATTTAGTAATAATAATAATAATAATAATAATAATAATAATAATAATAATAATAATAATAATAATAATAATAATAATAATAAAATAAAAAAAGAACCATAAAGAAATACAAATTGAAAAAAAATTTCGTGAGAAACAATATACATTATGTATGTTGTGTTGTCAATAGTAAGAGAAACAATTGAGACCCTGCAATTGTGTGTAAATGAGGCAGAAAGTCAGATCAGCAACCTGGGACTTGGTCATAATTTTCGTGATGCCACATGGCAGCAGGGTCTACCATTAGACAACACATTATGCTTCCAATATCTTCACAGGCGGTAGTACCTCCTGTTTGGTAGCTGCCTAATACCTACTACCTGGATATTCCTTTAACACATAATATCTGACCAGTATGGGGAGGATCATCGTGTCTCCGTCAGGGATTGTGGAGTGATGGTCCAGCAGGCGTCACGGATTTTTTTGGGGGGCACGGACGTATATGCGATCGGACGTTGTTGGTCGGACGTTAACGGCTGACTGTACTCTATAAAGTAACAATTCCCCCCACCCGATCCTCTGCAAGTCTACTCCTTTTTTTTGGTAGGTCTCTGTGTGTGTGTGTATGCATCCGTCCGTCTGTCCGTCCGTCCAGACATTTTGCCACTTCCAGTGCCCGATACACTGGCTAATCCTGGAACACTCTCTGCCTAGTTTTCTGTCACTGTTGGGGGACAGATATATTTGACTGAGTAAAAATCTCAGTTTTCAGTGTAGAAACCATGATTCCGGCATACTGAGTACAGTATTGTGCTGTTTCAACAAGATGATTTGAAAATAGTATTCTCTAAGTTAAGCTGAGAAGAAATCAGTTTTAAAATTGGAAACCACTAAATTCAACTAGAAACCAATCATTCAGCCTCACTTTGGCTGGTTTGAATCCATTTATCTTAATTACACTAATTAGGTCAATCCTAATCAAGCTGAACAGAAAAAAAAGTTTTCAACAAATCTCAAATAAATAGAAACCTCTGTTTTTAACAAGTCCATTCAATCAGTCCAGGTAGTCATACTCAGTGTGAACAATATACTGTATTGTGTCTATGTCTGTCATGATGTGTAATACTAAGATGAGACCCTCGTAATTAACAGATGTAGTGGGGACGGTGGTGGCAGTGTGGGCTGAGGTGGGCTGGTGCCTCACACCCACACCTCTCCCAGTTTCTTGCACTCTTCAAGGCTCAAACACCCCGCTGGTGAGTATGGATCCTTACACTCTCTTCTACCTTCTCTGTCATTCATCTTTACTTGCCCCCCTCTCTGTTCTCTTAGTTTCTCGCCTCCTCTATCTTTCGTGTGTCACGGTGTCTGCTGTTTCTACTTCTCTTATTCACTTTCCCTTGCTGTTTTTATCAACCTGCCTCTTTTTCTTGTTTGCTTTGTCCAAATATAATTAGTTGGTAAAGGGTAATAATCTTTGGTTTTAACTAAGAAGGCTTGTTTCTCAAATGCTTTCAGTGACTTAATACTGTGCATACTAAATAATAATACAGTAGTATGGTACTGCACTGTACAATATTTTATTTTTATTTCAAATTTTTTCATTTTCCCTTGACAGATGCTTGTAAATATTACAGTACTGTACATGCTTGATGTGCAGTCTTCTTTATTCTGATATAATATTATTCTCCTACTAAAACTTTACTCCATGCCCTGTCTAGAGTGCTGGAGGGCAGTGGACGTGAGCCACAGAGTGCCTTACCTTACCCGTGCCATGGAACCTCCTCTGCTTCCATCTCCCCACCCTATGCTTCTCACAGTTCGCTGACAGAAAGTCTAGCATCCTTCGTCAACATACGTGTTCCCGTCTCCTGTTGTTGAAGCAATAACGAGGCTTCATGAAAACCATTGTAGACATGGTGAGTTGAGTTTACTTAATACAGACGTTTTTTATCCTTCATTCTTGGGCATATGAATATTGTTATCACCCATGCCATGTTTCATGTTGGGTGGGTTTGTGTCTGTGTGCTAACCAAAAACTTAGTCAGTTTTGGATGGATGGATGGTTTGAAATTGGTAGGTTCTGTCATCATTACTTTAAGATGTGCATGTGTCCAACTGTTTATTACTAGTTTTGGAAATAGTGTTTAGTCTTCATGCCCTCAACCCACTTCTTTCTTCTTATCCTAAACTTATCAGTTACACTTGCCTCAAGGCACATTATATCCTTTTGGACAATTGGCTGAGTGAGGAAGTATTGGTACCACTCTTGCCCAGTGAGAAACAGTACTGTACTGTACTGTACATGGATAATTTCACCATTTACGTTTTCCTAAACCAAATATCAATTCTTATTTAACACTTCGTACACTCTTAGGTCTACTTGACCTATTTTTGCTCTTTGTACTGACTTTATTTACATCTACAGTACAGTACAGTGCAGTAGGTGATACTGCATGGGTTATTCATAAAAGATCTGCTTTGCCTTTAGTTCATTCATGTACTGTCAAACATCTTGTCATGCCTTATGCCTTTTATCATTCTAAAAGGTTTACTACTTTGTGTATAACTACAGTTACTGTATCACCTTTCACACACTTGACTTGGTTCTTGTATTCTTTGCCAATAATTTATCACTCATGTACTTATTCAACTACATGTGTTTGCAAATCCATCTTGCCTTGTGTTAATATATGCACTATATTCAATTGCTTTTTATTTATTAATATATTTTGCATTTCACACACCTTTTCTAACCTAAGACAATAAATGTTTGCAGGAATACTTTTATCTAATGCTGGGATATTTATCAAGTCTACAATACCCAGAAGTTACCCACCTCTCATCACCTTCCTGCATGACAGTTATTGTTATGGAAGATCTATTTCACACTATACTTTCCTCATGATAAATTGCCTTTGAATACTGAATACATAGTGTGTTTATATCCTGACCAGGAATCATCTCTTGTGTGGCAATATCTTGTGTTGTGTGCCCAGTACCCGCACTCTTGACTGGTCACCCTACAACTCTGGGCTGGCTTGTACATCGTGGATATGTGTACGAGACAGGTAGAAGTCTCATTAAATTGTTTTGCTTTAGAGTAAAGATAAAGGAAAAGTAAGAACATCATAGTGCAGGTATCTATGAGTACTTACTGGTACAGTGGTCCCTAGATTAACGAACGGTCCAATTAACGGAAATTTTGGTTAACAATTATCTCCCATAAGGATTTTCAGTTCGATTAACGAAAGCCTTAGAAACACGCTTTTGTTGTGCGCATCAGCTGATTAGCTGATCGGCTAGTCTGCCAATACAGTAATTGGTTCTATGTTTACATTCGTTTTCCAGTGGAGTAAATATCAAGAAAGTTGGTCTCTTGAATATTTCTGCATTTTTTATTAAAATTATTGGTCATTCTGAAATTTAGTTAACATATTGATAATATAGACAGTACAGGGAACAGTTTTGTGTGCCCATCAGCTGATTGAATCACCCAACAACGCTTCTCAGTTTAACTTTGTTTACAGTGGAGTGAACATTGAGTTTGTTGGTCTCTTGAATATTTTGCATTTTTATTAAAATTATTGGTCATTCTGAAATTTAGTTAACATATTGATAATATACAGTGCAGAAATTATTATGAAACATGAAGAAGGCATTAGAACAAATGCACTCTGTTAAAGAATATGGCATGTCATCATCGACTGCCTCTACAATCAGCTGTTTGATATGTAAACAAAGCTGCCGGGAATACGACATACACACCTCAAAGTAAGTTAAAATACAGTCGTATTCTATTGTTTTTATTTATTATTGTACAGTATACTGTACATTACAGTACAGTACTGTATTAGTTTATATTTAATGTTTTGTTAATTCTATTACTGGTATACAGTACTGTACTTTGTATATACTTTTCTGTGAGTTGGAACCAATTACCCAATATCATTAAAATAATAGATTCAGTTAAGTTTCGGTTATGGACGACTCTGTGGAACCAATTGTGTTAGGTTAATCGAGGACCACTGTATGTAATTAAACTTTGCTAACCATAAAGGTACATTATTGTAAAGTACAGCATGCCCTTACAATTTCTGGATTTTTTATTACGTGGCCTTTGATTATTCACGTGTAACACCCTGGATGTACCCAGAATGTCTGCAGGTAGTTTTAAAGTGGCAGCATTTTCACGGCCGGGACGAGGAGCCCGTAAGTTTTCACGTCCTGCAAGGTGTCTCTTGTACCAGGTGGCTGGGCCACTCACTCTGCCTCAGTGACAGTCTGGGTTAAACACTTGTCTGTTTCACCTGTGTGTACTACTGTGCTCTCTTAACAACTGTGCTCCTTGTGCCTAATCATAACATTGCATCTAGCTTAGCTCATTACTGTAACCACCAGGCTACTGGGCCAAGCTGTGGTGTTATGGTTTTTTCTTTCGTTTCTTCATTGTTTTTACTCAGTTACATGCACACACCATCCTACATACATAGTGAAAAAATTACAGTATTACACCACAATTATCAACATCCTTCATGTTGGGTTGGCTAGATGGCTACAAAAGAAATTTTGTAAGTTTGATCTGTGTATCAACCCAGCTGGCGCTCAGATGCCATTAGTTCTAGAGACAGTAATTTTATGAGGAAAAAAATTGGCGTTTAGCAACCCAACCAACTCGATTTTAATAACAAAGCATGGAGTTGACTTGAGGGTAGACTCACATTATTTTTGTCTTTCTGATTAAATGTGAGAGGATTTACCCATTACAGTATTATTTTTGTATCGTGCGTCTTGTATATACATTATGGGTTAAAGAAATAATTGACCTAGAGCAAACACAAAGGGATGTACATTTCTTTGCCACGAGTAAAAAAATGTAACCCCTCCCCTGTTTAGCAAATGTTATTCACAGTTTTAGTAATTCACGGCCATTCCGTGACCCAAACCCATGAATTTTAAGGGCAAGCTGTATTAATAAAATGAGGCAAATTAACTTCATCTTTTATTTTTCTTAAAGGTGAACATTCCTTACCAGAATTCCTAATCATATTCTCCAAATATTATGGATTATAAGGAAAAATTTAATAAATGAGTACAGTACAGTATAGCATAAGGGACCTGTGTATAATGACGCTTGTTTATCTCACAGGTCAGGGTTGGAAAACAAGCAGCGGTTCTCATCACAGTCAAGCTTACTGATGAGCTGTAGATCAGAAGGATATTTTGGCCTGGAGCCCGTGTAACTTATCCGTAAGTTATATTTACTTGAAGTATTTTTTAATACTCGATATAAATGAGGTTATGAACAAGTTAGTGAGCAGTGCAGTAATTACAAAGGTTTGAAGGAAACTGAACTAAAGAGATGGTGAATACTAAGTGAAAATGCTGCATGGAAAAGTTATGAAGTTTTACAGTGAACAAGAATCTGTTTAGGGTAATAAATATAGTGAAAAAACCAACAGGACAAATGCAAATGACATTTACAGTACAGGTATTATGTATTAGTTTGGATCCTCTGTATTGTACAGTGGCAGACCAGAAAGTTTACCTTTGGCCTGGTTAAAAAACAATAATATTTTCTGTTTCTCCTCCAAGGTGGTCAATCAGGCAATTAGCTAGATGCTTCTGTAAATATACAAATAGTGAGAGTTAAATTGGCTCACCTGGAGTTTCTTTTGCATTTTTCTACTTAGGCCTGAACCAAGATGATGTCTTTCAGTTGCCCAGTCAAGATAGGGGTGAAAGCACATTACAGTATTTTCAATATTAAAACATTAATTTACAAAAGAGCATTATTGTGGAGATGTTTGTATTTAATCTGTGTTTATTGTAACGGAAAACCTTAAATACAGTACAGGTAGTTGTAAGTGATCTAATTTGTCTGTCTTATTTTTTATCTCTTGCCTCAGGGCTGACCAAGAAAGGTACAAGTTGGCGTAAATGGTAAAAGGTAGCCACATTTATACTGCTTGTGTAAGATATATTCATAATGGTAAAATTGCAAAAGTACAGTTCAATTATTGTACAGGCAAAAGCCTTATATACAGTGATACCCCGATTCTGCGGTCAATTGAACAGGGGTACCTCGTGAAAACGTAATGGAATAACAGAACATATGGGATTAATTCCAATAGAGACTGGCCCGACCCCCAAACTCTACTTTTTCGACACAATACCTATGTTAGTAAAAAATAACATCATGATTTATGATGGGATGCTCACATTAATATTTAAGAAATATAGTCGCCAGGTTAATGTCCATTCAAATAATGGACTCAACTCCCCCATCTTTCCCGCGGCTCGCTGGCTCCTCCTCTCTGGAAATGTTTGGGTGAAAAACTAGATTTTAAGGTATAGTAATAAATAATACCTCAGACTAAAGTTAGGATAATATAATTGACATTTCTGGATTCCTTGCAGGTCAGGGAATATTTTGAATGTAAACTTCAAATATTTTGCACAAAAGATAAAATATTTGCTTTGTAAACCAAATTATTACATTAGATCTAAAATTTGTATGTCTAATGGAAAATCCATGATGATTGTATTCAAATTGTCATCATATTGTAAAATTCAGCAATGTTAATTATATTCTGGCGGATAATTTGTATGAATTTTTATGAGCTAAATAAAAATTATACTTCACCCGCGTATAGTAGATACGCGTAAAATGAAATTCGGTTCTGGCGAGGTACGGCGTAAATGTAGAATCGAGTAAAGCAAACCTCGTAGTCAGGTATTACTGTAAATCTAAAATCATAATTTAAGACAAGCGAAGAAAGAGAATGACAAAAAAATACAGCAAATGAAAGTAAAAAAATATGTCCTCAGGTAAATAAAATGTTGTAAATTTAGTATTTAATCCCATTACAGTATGCTGGTGTTAGTAACCTTGGACTGTCTGTGTTGTTTATATGATTTTATGTCATTAGGACTTTTTTTTCTTCTCTCTCTCTCTTCTCTCTCTCTCTTCTCTCTTTTTTTCTCTCTCTCTCTCTCTCTCTCTCTCTCTCTCTCTCTCTCTCTCTCTCTCTCTCTCTCTCTCTCTCTCTCTCTCTCTCTCTCTCTCTCTCTCTCTCTCTCTCTCTCTCTCTCTCTCTCTCTCTCTCTCTCTCTCTCTCTCTCTCTCTCTCTCTCTCTCTCTCTCTCTCTCTCTCTCTCTCTCTCTCTCTCTCTCTCTCTCTCTCTCTCTCTCTCTCTCTCTCTCTCTCTCTCTCTCTCTCTCTCTCTCTCTCTCTCTCTCTCTCTCTCTCTCTCTCTCTCTCTCTCTCTCTCTCTCTCTCTCTCTCTCTCTCTCTCTCTCTCTCTCTCTCTCTCTCTCTCTCTCTCTCTCTCTCTCTCTCCTCTCTCTCTCTCTCTCTCTCTCTCTCTCTCTCTCTCTCCTCTTCTCTCTCTCTCTCTCTCTCTCTCTCTCTCTCTCTCTCTCCTCTCTCTCTCTCTCTCTCTTCCTTTCTTCTGTTCTTTCTTTCTCTTCTTCTTTCTCTCTTGCTCTTTCTCCTTTCTTTCCTCCTCCTCTCTCCTCCTCCTCCCGCCGCCGCCTGCCCGCCGCCGCCGCCGCCGCCGCCTGCCTGCCTGCCTGTCTGTCTCTGTGTGTGATTGTAATAGCGGTTTGTTTAAGTTGCGCTGGTGGCTAAAATATGCAGACTTACATGTGATTTAGACATAATGATATGTGTTCAATACATTTTACAGGGCTGTACGGTACATAGATCAGGAGTTGTTTATTATTTAACAATAGAATGGGATGGTGCTGTTCTTGCTATCTATCGGTGCGAGCTCTTATGGGCTGAATTTTATTGTAGTGGCGGACTGTGAGGTTGGGTAGGGGGGCTGCAGGGGTGGCGATGGCGAGGGGTGGTGCAGTCCACAGCCAAGACCTTTCCAGTTCTTGGTGGTGGAGGTCACTGAGGGTGGCATTTCCAGGGTGGAGAGGCGTTGGTGTAGCCAGAGTATTCTGCGCTGAGCATGATTCTGCAGGCCTTTTCTGTACCTTCTCGCTGGCGTTGTTGGGTGGGAGTTGAGAGAAGCGACCAGGCTGGTGGCCGCGCGTTAGTTGGGGAGAATAAAGGCGTTGTAGATGGTCCTCAGCTCTGTGGGGTGTCCCCAAAGTGACCTAAGTCTTCGTAGCATGTAGAGATGAGTGCGGGGCTCCTTGACTGTGTTGACCCCATGGGCCTTTCAGTCAAGTTTGTTGTCTATAGTTACACCCAGGAGTTTGGCAGACTGCACCAGCTGGAGAGGATGGGCACCACTGTGACTGCTGGGGCTTGCACTGGAGTGGTGGTGATGTGATGATGTGCATGACTATGGTTTTGTGATGTTGATGGTGACCTTTGTAGCCTGTCCAGGTGCCTTGGCCTGAGTAGTCTGTTGTCCACTGAAACCCCCACAGTGCAGTCATCCACGTATTTCCACCTGTGAGGAGTGTCCGACAGAGCGTGCTGACCAGGATGAGGAAGCACAGTGGTCCCATCTTGGTCTCAGGAGGTGTTGAGAGACCAAGCCCTGATACCTCACTGCTTGGCGACGCCACTCAAGAAATCAGTGAGCCATGAGACCAGGTTGGTGGGCAGCCCTATTGGACAGCCTTGTTGATAACAGTGCAGTGATCAACAAGGTCAAAGGCCTTCCTGAAGTCCACAAGGGCAACGGCCAGTGATGTCTTTCGTTTCTGAGCTTTTTTGCAGAAAATCCAGAAAGCTCACCAAGCAGTGTGATGTAGAGGAGGTCCTCATATTGCCAAATTGCTGTGAATCAATTAACTGATAGATACTGGCAAATGCCCACTCAAAAACAAAGTCCTCATAGTAGACTGGGTATGGGGTAATGGCAACTGGCCTGAGGTCGTTAGGACTGTGGGTGGTGACCTTGGGATGGGGGTGACAATGCGGTTTCCATTCATTAGGGCATTTGCTTTGTCTGAGGGATGCATTAATAATAGAACAGAGAGGGGTGCGTCCGACTGCAAACCTCTTGTATTTTGATTGGGAGGTCAATTGGGGTCGTGGAGGTTTGGATTTAAATTTCAGGAGTTTGTTGGCATTTACATGGTTGAACACTGGGAGGGAGGGGAAGGTAAGCCGAGGAGAGGAGGTCAAGACTGGGTAGGTATGACATATGGTAGCAAAATGGTTATTAATTATCTCAGCTGCCTCCTCACTAGGTAAATGTGAGATGAAAGGAAGTGGAGACTGACGATTGAGACCACAGAGATCTTTTACCTTGGAGTACCACTGACAGAGGCCGACTTCCTTGAGGTTGCACCTTTCCTGGGATAATAAGTCTTGGCAGACTTGATTTCCCTGATGACCTGGTTATGTAGACTTTTGTACAGGCGGTTGTTGGTGTGTGTGTAATAATAATAGTAATAATAATAATAATAACGGTTTATTGAAAGAGCTTGCAGCCAGAAGGTTGAAAATATACAGTTACATATTTGGGAATGGTTCAAATTACAAAATAATATACAAGTAAATATAAGTGATACAAATAAGATATATAATAACTAGATGGGGAAAAGCTCAAACTACAGTGCATTTGAACATAGTGACAGTGCAAGAAGTAGTATTTACTGGGAGGAATACACTGTTTATTACAAGTTATTGATAATTTTACAATGGTTGGGACTGGGCTGTCTTGCAGTGCACGAGATGGGCTGGATGCGGTTAGTGTCGAACAGCAATTCTCGGCTAGGGATCTCAGGTGGTAGTAGGAGACGTGTCGAGGATGGTAAAAGCTCACCAATTTTGCAGATGAGGTCGTGGTGATGGTCAGTGAGAGTCAAGGGCTGTGTTGAGCGCTTCTTGATATGTGGAGTAGGAAGGGAGAGAATAATCTTGCATGCCCTTTGCACTTTTTCTAGGTGCTTACATTGTGGCATTTAGGAGGAAGACCAGGTAGGGAGGCATAGGTGAGCTTGGGAAGTATGAATGTTGTGTAAACACTGAGGAGCCTCGGTGCAGGAACTCCGAGGACTTGAGTCGGCGGAGGAGGTGGAGAGGAAACTGGAGGATTTGACAACTTCACTGACGTGGTTTCCAATTTATTTTGTTGTCTATGGTGACGCCGAGGAGCTTCGTGGAATCTACAACCTGGAGTGTGTTCAGACCTAAAGTAATCGGAGAGGTGGGACAATGTCGGAGGAGAGGTTGATGTGCATAACCATGGTCTTGGTATGGTTGATGGTGACATGGTTGTTGGTGGCCCAGTTTTGGAGACTGTTCAATAAATTCTAAAATGCAAGTAT